GTTTAGCATGACAATACTTGCCACGCCACACCTACATACAGATGGCAACGAATGCGAGTGTTTCCAGTGGTATGCTTTCTGGCTATCCATGGCATGCATTGCAAATTGCAGGTGGATTTATGGGTGAATCGGGATGTCCCGTAGCCCAGTTCCCATGCTTCCATCATGTAATTGTCCGTAAAGATCTGTTTTATCGTAAATACTCTTGGTTGCAGGCAATCATTTGTACACAAACTGGTATACATTTGCTTCTCTTTTTAAACTGCATTTTAATTAGAAATTTATTAACAATTTTGATGTTATGTTTAAATTTCAGATAATGAAAAAGTGAAATCTTAAATTATAAAAATCGTCCATTACTTTTATTTTTAACCGACTTCGAAAAGGAGGAGGTTACTCAATTCGATCAGTATGTATTTTTTTTTTGTTGTGTAATAATGTTTTGTTTAAAAATTGAATTAAAGTATTATTCTATTCATTAATACAGTGTCATTTATTTTAAACAGATAATTAACTTTTTATAGGCAAAATATTTATTACACTATTGGGTAGTTTTAATATTTCAAAAATTCTAAAATACTTATCAAAGTCTCTACTACATAATATGTACATGTAATTGATCGTTATATCAAATATTTACAAATTTTTACAATAAAAGTAATATCTTTTATTTATGTGATCAAGGATCTAAAGCTGTGAAGGGTTACATTTGTATTTCTCACAGCGTTGTAATATTGTAGATATCAATTAATTTGAATCCTTATGAATGGTATCATACTTTGATGACACAGCATAATAATTACAGTTGTCAAACATAGAAATTAAACGGTATTGTAACAAATTGAAGAAAAAGCTGAGGATAAAGGGTCTTAAGTGTTGAACGACGCTTAGAATAGCATTTTGGCCATCCTCATCGAGTACTTGGCTTAACAGCATTGAACGGGTCACGTGTCGACCCGTGTCCACCGGATGTCATGGTTTTGTCGCATTTAACGCCTCTTCTGCGGACCATTCACTCGGTGGTAAAGCCATGGGCGTTTCCTTTTTCCGCCCAAGTGATCGACAGACCGGTTTGAGCTTATATCATGAGTACTTTTTGACTGATAGGAAATGTGAATTTTAGAACTAATTCAAATTTTCATTTTAAATTGTGGATGGCTTGTTAACCCTTTCAGGATGGAACATCTTTAATCCCTTTATTTGTAATAATCACCATTCAATTCGTAAACAAATCAATCATTTATTACTACTAAAACTTGGTAAATAATTCACTTATTACTTCTTATGGTGTTCCTATGAGCATTTTCTCAAAATTTCTATCTTATTGCAGAATACCTCTTTGTATTGTTCATCTAAAGATATATGTAAATTTTCCGACATTTATTGAAGTATCTCTTTTCATTCCATATCGAACAAGAAACAAATAATAAACCACTAATTTTTCTGTTTTAAGCTTGAAAATAAATATAAATGCAAAGCCTTAAGAAACTATATAAAACCTTTTAAATTATTTTCAGGTAATATGAAACCAACTACAGAATCCCCTCAAAAGAGAAAACCAAGTTCAATGAAAATTCTTCCGCTATTAAATTATATAATACAATCATCCTAAATAGGCAGTAGGGTCGTACAAATTGGCTCTTTTTTTAGCAGACAATTTTTAACTTCTAAGGCCATTTTTACCCAGTCGTATCCACGAAGAAACTCCAGTTAAACAGACAGTCGAAAAGATAGATGGACAAATGGAAGGAGAAATAAAGCGACAATACAATTATCTTAATGGAGTTGTGGACGCCGCTGGGCGTTATTGATTTCATGTGTGATACTTCTACTGACTCGTAACTCTTCTACGATGTAGGATCAAGAAAAATGTCCTTGGTATTAATCAACAAAAAGTGTATGGAAAATGATGTAATATGTCTATTCAAGTCAATATAACAGTATCTAGGCAAACAAATTTTCCTTTTTAAATGAAATTATGTGTTTTTTTTTTACTCACGACAGATCAATTTTTTTTGAATATTCTGCATGCAAAGGCATTCGAGTGCAATGTCAAAAGACAGAAATAGTTGACAATTTATGAAATAATCTAAGGTTTTCAAATTCATGATTTTTGTCCCGATATTTAAGACACTCTAATATCGTTTATATTAAGAGATAATTTAAAAAGTAATTTTACCGTTCTTCGTAGAAGAACTAGTCAGTGTTTGATAGGAATGCTACTAAAATATTTGTGTTCATTTTCGTTAAAGCTCAGTTTTCAAATTGACGTGCCGTAAGTGTCATTTTACGACACTGTTGTGTCATAAAATAGTGTCAGATTTTCACTATTTCGCAATTCGTTATTCATTATGCAGCAATCTCATATTTAAGCCTTTTTTATTTATATGTCAAGCGTACCGTAATTGTTTCGTATTTTATCAATTATTTCCTATTATCGTGTCCTGTTGCAGCAAAACCGATGTTCTTTCAGGTTGGCGCAAAAGTGGCTCACAAAACGTTGGAATGAACAATCCACTCATTCGAGTCGCCACGTGAGTTGCACGTGTCAGGAGCGTGCCAGAACAACTGGTGCCCCGTCGCTTCTGGCACCATGTGCGTCGATGAATGTGTACGCGTGCTGTACACGCGTTTTAATTCTGCTGTATAAGATCATCTCGTAACTTGTAGGTGTTACTACCCTTTTCTCCTTGTTGCGACTTACGACTCTTTGTGTTTCACTCTTTGTTGTCCGACTCCATGCAGATGACTTTTGTTCAATTTCGTGTTGGAGTCATTGACCGTTATTGTAATTTGTTTCCATGCAATGGTAGAATACGTATTTGTTTGTTCGATTTATTCTCTATGGAATTATTCTCCAATTACAAAATTTCTTCTGCTAATATCTATACACGTAAAGTTTGTTACATTGAATTCTTAATGTTGACCACCACAATGAAAATAGATATATGTAGTCAGAAATATTAAAACTGTAGTTATTAGTTTATTGTAGTTAATATAAGGATACAATCGGTTAATATTCAAATTTAAGCTTCTCGATTGGTACCTTGCATTACAAATATAACACTGACACTATTCAAAATCTCTTTACTTTGATTAATTATTCAATTATTTAAAACTTGGGGCACCGATCACTGGTGACTACCATGATGTGTTAATGTAATTTCCCTTTTTTCCTTCGCTTTTCAATTATTTGACTTAATTAAATTCATACCATCCATCACATTTAATATGGTAATTATAATATTTTTATCATTAAATTAATTCCGCTATAGAATCAATCAATTGCTTCCTAAGTGTATTTAAGTAAGTTTATATTCTATCATAAGCACACTATGTAGATAAATAAAAATGTTAGCTTAAAAAACCACCATGTCACTCGCTACACGAGATCACCGATTAAACTGTCTTTGATGGTCTTAAAAATGTTGAAAGGGTCGCAGCTAGGGGCCAACAAGAGGCGCCCGCATTTTCGGCGTAAGTTACACCACTCGACTTTGAAAGTTTCAAGGATAAGCCAGCTCGATGATAAACAACTGGAAAAGTAACTCCTAATCGCACATAACAATGCCATTGTACAATACAACGAACGACCAACTGGCATGACTGATAGTACGTTCTCGACAACATATGGGGTAGAGTAGATGGTCTTCTACTTAATGTTTCGTGCTTTCTACCCCTCTGTAGAATCAACTGCTGATAGCCACTTGGAAAAATAAGGGTCAGTACTTGAAACGGATCTTTGCTTTTGATAATGATACATTGGAGCGGTGGTTTTTGATCGAATTTTGAGATTTACCTATGTACAGTTGAATATTTTGAAAGAATGACAGAGCTTTGAGCATTAGATGGAAAGTAAAAGGACCGAGAAATATAAACTTCTTTAAATGTGTCTCAGATACAATTTTACTAAATTAGACATACAATTATCATTTAACCTTCCAATGCCTGAATTCTGAATTCCTATTTGTCGGTTTCAGTACTAGAATATTTAATTAACATGGCAGCACTTTATGCGGAGAAAATTTAGATTTTTAGAAAAATAACGGTACATTTTTCAATTTTTCGTTGCTAATAACGTTTTAATAAGCAACGACCTACGGTTAAGTTATAAGGAAAAATTACTCAGGGAGGTGTCCCTTATAATATATGTCAAAGTCATTGGAGTGGGGTCTCCTAAAGAAGAGGTTTACCAAAAAAATAAAATGTTATATACCTTTACTGTTAGATAGTTGATTCAGTGGCTTACCAAAATGAAATTAGCATAACACTTGCTTATAGGTATACTCGCGATGAAATCAGGCTTCTCTAGGGATAATAGCGATACAGTGGAAGCAGGAATTTTTAGAATTTTAATTTCAATACCAATGTTAAAAGCAATATAGAAAAAAAATAATATAATTTTTAATTATTAATTATTATAAAATTTACTATATAAACTAAGAAATATGCATAATGACAACGTCATTTTCTCCGACCATTCCTAGGGAAAGGGATGGGATGGCTACCCGGGATATCACCATTTTTTCTAGGGAAGTCTGATTTGATCACGAGTGTATATGTATGCATACTGTAAATAAAGTATGTAGAATATAGTGTACCATAGAATATACTATACATATATTGTAATTTGTGTTATTTTATCTCCTTACCTTGCAGACAAATTCATTAAAATTCACTGAGGTGTGAATTCCATTGAAAGAAACTATTAACTAAACTTTGAAACACATTAAAAGCCAACTATATGTTAGCTTTTTGCCAAAAACTTACTGTAAATGCTATTATTTACACATCTGCATGAAGTGTTTAAAATTGATATAAAATAGGATAAGTACCTAAATGTATTAAAGTAGTCGCACTTCCACGCCTATTTATAAATGTCGCATGAACTGATATGAAGAATAATTTTAATTAAATGATACAAATAAAAACTAAGGGAGAAAGAAGAAACAGAAGCAAACAAACAAAAACAAATGAATATCAAATTAAAAAGGACTCACGTTCTTCCTTGATCGGAAAACAGCTTGGTGTTTTGATCTTCCGTTCTAAAACAAAAGGAAAAGAACAAACCGATTAAAACTATTAAAATAAATCATATAAAAAGAAATGAAAATAAAAGAACGAATATCAAAAGAAATTATTGAAATAAAAAATAAAATTCAAATAAATAAAATTAGAAAGCTGTTATGAAATGTTTTATTGTATTTGCATAAACTACAACAGGAAGTTCGGTTAATTCGAATTCTTTACCGACTTATACGTGATTTTGTTTCAAAAATATGTAGACAATGCTGACGTTTTATCTTACCAAGGATAGTAAGGTTTTTATGGGATATCGTGTCAGTCGTGCTTAAACTCGATAGTACTTTTCTCGCGGTAGAGATGATAAATAATTTACCTGCAAACGAGTATACTCGTTCACCTACCTGTGCAATATTCTGATTCGTCACCCATGTGAATTAAACTGTTCGCGCGTAAACACTGAAATTGCCATGTATACTTTACAAAGAAAAAAAAAAAGCGCGAAAATTGTGTGGAAAATATTCACTCACATAATTTTGCATGTTAAATTAAATTGAAATTAGATAAACATTTTTGTTATTAAATTTATGTACAGAATGCATGCAGAAACATAGACTGAATGAAAATATTCGTAATTTATATAACAATTAGCATTTCGAAAGATTTAGAATAAATAATAATCTTCTACTTTCTGAATTTTTCGTTGAAAGTAAATTAGTTTACTTTTACCATACTATGATTCATAATTTCTTTAAATGAAATAACTCATTTTTTATGATATTTCGTTTTAAGTATTGTTTGTTACTAAAAATTAAATTATTTTGTAATATCTATACATACATTTTTTATATTTATTATATGTAATGTTTATAAATTTCTCATTAGATTAAGAATAAATAATTAAGAATTTCATTAGCAGTGAGGGCTACAATTGACCAATTTTGTATTTATCCTTTGCATATTCTATTGTCTTATTAAGTATCATTTAATGACATAGAATATAAAATAGTCAAACCCAATCTCTATTACGTTATCAAACATCAATCTATAGTATGATTATAAAATTAGTTTTAAGTGACAATTAATCATTTTGTGTTAAGAATATTTATGAAACTCTTATACAGTGTCTCCCGCGTAAGTGGAAACACTCAATTATTTCCTAAACTATTAAAGATACAGGAAATTGCTTTGGTGGTCATTGCATGCTAAGCTGGGGCAACATTTTGACGTAGACGAATTTTTTTTTGCATTGTTATTTTCAAAAATATAATGGCAAAGTTTGGTTTTTTAAATGGAACTATATATTTTTCTTTCGATCATTTGATAGTGTTTTTGAAGTCAAATTCATTAAGCTTGCATGTATACACTTGATTTTCGTTTGTTTTCGAAATATTGCGCTAACAAATTTGGAGATTTTTCACGGGAAAAATTCACTTCAGTGGGAAGTATGGTATCAGTAGGGGTCCTGTTCACCAGGGGTATATAATCATAATCATCAAAACTTAAACTCCAAACTAACATATCACAAGTGTCATTCTGAGGTACTTGCATATCATTAAATTGTGTTTGACTTTTTATATTTTGAAATCTACCAGAATACCAAATTCAACATGAATAATAATTCTTAATGATACTATACATCCGTTTGATGTATGATGATGAGCTTGAATTTTAAATAGTTTAAAAATTATTAATTTAGGGAATTAGTTTTAAGTCTATTTTTTTACATTATTATTTTATAAATATTTTATAAATTTATGCCTGCAATACCTTGTATTGGAAAAATAATTGTTGAATGAACTTGAAAAGGATTTTCAATTAATGATGCAACTTTTTAATATGCAACAACTGAATAGAATGGATCTCAACGCAAGGTTGCAAAAAATGAACTCTATATTCAGTATAATTCGTTAACATACGGTTTCAAAATGTATTGTACCTCATGTTTTTCGCAGTAACAAGCCATCGTCATTAATTCTATATAAACATAAGTTTTCTAAGTGCGCGATTTAAACGGTGTTTAGTTCCCATCAAGAGCCACTTAATCTTCGATCGTGTAAACTCAGGCAACAATGGGTCACGCGTGGCCACAAAAGGGGCACACGTGATTGCGTGGACCAAACCTCATCGAGTAGTCACGTGGCGCCGGAAAAACGGGCATAACATCCACACGAGCCGGTTGTTCTTCATCGAAAAACCTAACCGCAAACCCCGAAAAAATCCACCAGCACCGCCTACAAGAAAAACAACTCCCGGGTCATGGGTTCCCACGTACATACGCGCATAAACCAACTCCAACCCCCTCGAATTTTCGGTGTAACGTTTCGGATTACACGGTGTTTAGCTGTTGCCCATTGCTCGTGCGGTATTCCTTGTTTGTCGAGGACTGTAATCGAATCGTTTTTCAAAGTATTGTTGGCAACTTTGATGCTTTACTGGATTAACGCATTTGCCACCAGCGTAGTCGCATGTACAATGGATAAAAAAAAAATATTTACACACTCTTTAAAAGTTCGAACTTGAAGAAGCTAAAAAGGTTGGTTTATTAGATGACCTGAGAAAATTGTAATCGGTTGAAATTACAAGCCATAATCTAATTGTAAGCCTGCAATCAACATTTGAAAAATACTTTTCGTACATTTATGTAAATTACATTTGCAAATAATATTAAATCTAACATTTAAGTTTGGCATTTGAAATAGTAAATGGTGTCAGGCAAGTAATTATTCGTAAAGTAATAACTGGAGATATTTTACTGAATCATATGTTACAATCATATAATAAATCTTCATGAGAAGTTAATCTAGTGAAGTAAAATTATAAAATTACGTACTTAATTAGATAAAGTCAATTTTGCGGAATTTCTATTTAATTAATGAAGACCGAATTCAGTTCCCGTGATTAATTATGAATTGAAATTAATGTTTGAAACTAAAGCAATCAAAATATCACCAATTCTTTTGTAGAAAACTTATTTTAAATTATGATATTAATGAGATATTAAATTATGGAACTATTTCATTTTGCTGCATTTTTTTCAACCCTTACCCTTATTTTTATAATAGCTGCATCACAAATGTTAAATGAAGTCTTTAAATAGGATAATTATAGTAAATAATTGAAGAATTAGGGATTTAGATCATGACAGGGTTAATTTTGATAAGAACTTCTTTTTATATACTTTATATATAACTCTTAATCAAATATTGACATTCTAATAGTGACGAACGAAATATTTAATCTTATCGAAGACATTCCTCTTCAGACAGTAGCTCGACTCACGTGTCGGTGACATACTGAAGTATAATAGTGTTATCTCGGTGTTAGTCAATGTGGTAACTTGCGTAGAAGCTTCTGAAAAGGAGGTCGACTTATGTCGCAGCATGTTACCTATTGAGGAAACTTCATCATTTAAAACATATATGTATTCAGCACCAGCTTTAGGGAAGGGTGAAATAGGATTACCGGTCAGGGCAGTAAACATCCTCGGCGCCTTAAATACCATTTATAAAAACGTGTAATAAAAAATGCATCAACTTCGAGGTAGAACATTTTTATGTGCATATATTATTATTGAGCGAGCGGGAGGGGGCGAAGAAAATTTCGCTCATAGTGACAAGTACGCTAATTGTAAGACGAGCCCTACGTGTATTCACTGTGATTATTGTACATAAAAGTACCATGACTTATATTACTTAATAAAAATGCAAGCACAGTTTTTAAAAGTTCGTGTATCTTTTTATACCAGATAAATAATATTTTTACTTCAACAACAATGAAATATGATTATTTAGTGGGGCGTATTTATACAGACACGTGTAATTGTATTTAATGTGCTTTTATTTCAGAAATGCTATATCAATAGTACTATATCTTAAACATTCATAGGTTACGAATTGAATGCTAACAGTTCTTGATAGAAAATCAATTAACGAACATTTGATTACCAATATTTTATTTATAATCCAAATCAATCAAATTGGATACACTATAATTTCGAAAATCTTAATAGTTGCTCTATAAGTAAAATGTTAAATGATACATTCCATTCCGTTCGTGATATAATTTTAGTTCATTTAATTATTATTGATTTACCATTGCCATTAATTCCAGGAACCTAATAATTTTAAGACGGTCGCTACTCAGACAAATACCAAATAAAATAATTTTACTTCTATCTGTTAAAAATCTTTATTTTTTTACCTATTTAAAATTTCTGATCATTAAAATAGATTAATAACTTCTAAAGACTGCAATTTTTTAAATATCTAAAAAATGTACTTTATTTTGTAACTTGAAAATCCTGTAAATATAAACTGTTGAATAATTATCTAATTATTGAAATAATTATTTGAAAAATATGAGTGTTGAATAAATATACTCTTTTTTGTAACTTGATAAGCATGTGTCAAAAACATGATTTGCATGTATAAAAACTAATTCAAACAAAACATTTTAACATAATTATAATAATAACATAATGTTTTCACTAAAAAAAAACAGTCTAGAGTATTATCAATTTATATAAGAATAACGTCTACCATGATCCCACGAGTATATCCAAAGATGAAAAAAAAGGAAGAAAAAACAAAAGAAACTGTCATAAAAAAGAAACTATCGATCAAACTTCAAATTTGAAACGTCAGCCCGGAAATGGGCTGTCTTCGATCGCTTACAAGAGAAAGGAAAAAACTGGTAATAGCGTAATGACCCACAGGGTGAGACGTGGTAACTTGATGCCAAGGCTCGACGCGTGCCCAAAGGACTCCCAGGAACAGTTCCTTTCCCAGATGCTGCTTTACACGCCGTTTGCTTTTCTCCGTGTCCTCGTCGCGTTTTATCGTCGCATTAATTTTCACAACAGGAGGAAAACGACTTCGCGACGTGCTATTTTCCAACTTTTTTACGCTCTAGTCGTATCGTGGTTATGAATAACAGTATCGTAGTCGTGAATTTTATCCGAGGTGCAAAGAAATTCTGAGTCCTCTGAATCGGAACCGTTCACTTTGTCGACACGATCATT